TATATATATATATATATTTATGATTAATGCTACCGCCTAAGAGTTATGCTCCACATGAAGCAAATCCTAATATAATATAACTAAACTTCAACGAAATTTGATACCTAACTCATAAAAAAATTTGTGAGTAATTCCTTGCATAAGAATTTAATCTCTGTTACGTGTTAACTGCTAAGGTCTTCTTTTTTCACAAATTACAACTATCCATCCAAAAACGAAAAAGGAATATTTACATACATACTAATTAAGTTCTATGAATTTCAATACTTAATACCCAAACTTAAATTATTGCATGCATAGTACCTAACATAAGTATGAAAATGTGACCATCGCTTTTAAAAGTTAAAATGATGATAGTTTTTTTATTGTGATATCAAAGATTTGAATGATATAAATGTAAGAAAAAAAGAGAAAGTTGATGCATCATAAACAACTCAACTAATGTTGAACTTTTAATATCATATTTAGTTGAGGCGCTTGCAGTAGAACTTATGGTTCTTTCTGGACATTTGAAGTATGCATTTTTGTGAGAATCATCTGCTTTGCCTGTCATTTTTTTCCTTTGAATTAGCTGAATTGCAAGAGACAAGGCTTATGCATGTATTGAGGAACTTTAGGCAAGATTTGCTTTGCCCGTTATTTTTTCCTTTGAATTAACTGGATTGCAAGAGACAAGGCTTATGCATGTATTGAGGAACTTTAGGCAAGATTTTCGGGTGGAGTATAGCGGACATAAATAAAATTAGGCATTTACTGAGCATTTATATACTTTTGATGGAAGAGAATTATCAACTCAAAGCTGATCCCTAGATGAGGCTCAACCTTCTCATGAAAGAAGTGGTGAAAACTGAGAAGTTAAAGTGGTTAGATGTTGGAGTCCTCTACTCAATATTAGCAGTGCATGGGTTAGCAAAATACATTACGCCCCTAAGAAAGGATGAGTGATGGTAGTGGAAAATGACCAAAAGGAACTTATACCCACTAGAAACGTCACATGGTGGAGAAATGCATTGACTGTAGGAAATTAAATAAATCCACTAAGAAAAATCATTTCACTCTGCCTTTTTATTCACTAGATGTTAAATAGATTGGCAGAGCACCCTTAATACTATTTTCTAGATATGTATTATGGTAATTATCAATTACATATAGATCCATACGACAAGAAAATACCACATTTACCGACATCTATGAAACTTTTGCCTTTAGTAGGATGTCTTTCAGACTTTGTAACTCCTCTACTATTTTTCAAAGATCTATGATGACAATCTTTTTGGATTCGAATAGAAAAAAGATACAAGTTATTATGGACATTTTTTCATTTTTTGGCATGTCATTTGATGTCTATCTTGAACACCTAACAAGAGTGTTAAAAATGTGTGAAGAGACTAATCCAGCGCCAAATTTAAAAAAAGTATCAATTTATGGTTTGTATAGGGATTGTCCTTGGGCATAAGTAATCAGAGAAAGGGATGAAAGTGGATCACACTAAAATCTAAATTATAGACAAAACTACCTCCACCCACAACTATTAGGGACATTAGAAGTTTTCTTAGGCAAGTAGGGTTCTACCGTAAATATATTCAAGACTTCTCTAAGATATATAAGCATTTATGTCATTTTTTAAGAGAAAGATGTATCATTTAAGTTTAATGAAAATGCATAACAAATTTTGAGCATTTAAAAGATAAATTAATCACTACACTAGTTATCATTGCAAAAGACTCGGAGATTCCATTGGAGTTAATATATGATGCAATTGAGTAGGATGTAACATAGTGTTACAACGAAGAGAGAGAATTTTTCATGTGATATATTATGCGAATAGGACTCTGAATAAAGCACAAGTGGATTATACCATAGAAAATGAGGTACATACGATATCTTTTGCATTTGACAAATTTAGTCATATCTGTTAGGTTAAAATCTATATCAACCACTCTATAATTAAATAACTCGTAACTAAAAAGGATGTTAAACCCCACTGATTCATTAGATACTTTTGTTAATATAATTTGATATAGAGATACTTGATAGTAAATGTACTGAAAATCAAGTAGCAAATTATTTGTAGAGATTGTAAGAGGATAATTTTTCCAAACTTCTTGAAGAACTGAAAATCAAGTAGCAAATTATTTGTAGAGATTGGAAGAGGATAATTTTTCCAAACTTCTTGAAGGTATTAATAAGAATTTTCTTGATGAACAATTACTTGTTATTTCTAAACAACACATTCCTTTGTATGCTGGCATAATGAACTACATAGTTAGTGGTATCAAATCTTTTGATATGTAGTACAACCAAAGGAACAAGTTCATTTCTAATGCCTTTTGTTTTGGATGAGCCCTTCTGTTTTATGTAAGGATTAATTTATTAAAAGTTGTCCCATTAGAAAAATTTCAAAAGATTATTAGAGCAATGATTCAAAATTTAAAGGGCATTTTGGAGGATTTAGAATATCTTATGAGATTTGGTGGATTCTTTCTAAGGATGTTAGTGATTATATTAAAAGATGTGATTGAGGCCAGAGAGGATGAAATATTTCTAAAAGAAATGAGATTCTCTTAATTTAGATTTTGGAGATGGAGATATTTAATGTTTGAGGAATAAATTTTATGGGATCATTCCTACCTTCTTTAGGAAAGATCTATATCCTATCACTAGACTATGCGTCCGTTTGGGGCAGTTTATAAGTGCGGGCGACGTTTTCAAAACGCCGTCGTATCGTTTGGTTCGCGCTCTGAAACTGTGTTTGGGTTTTTACACTAAATGCAGGCCACGGGTCGACCCCTGCGGCCGGCCCGCAGGCCAAAGCTGCTTATCCTGAAACGCACCAGCTGCCCCAAACAAATCATAAATCCC